CTGAAGATCATTCAGCGGGCAGTTCCGAAAATCTTGATCAGCAAGCACCCGAGCAAACTTTTGTGCTTTTTAAAAAATCAGTTAACTTTTTCAAGGTATGTCAGTTTGACATCTCACACAGTATTTTCCATCCATATTGACCTTTGTTCCCTATCAATCAATTCTTGTTTTTTTGGGTGGTAGAACAAGTGACTACCTTGGAAATTATCTAAACTTTGCAATACAATTGAAGAGAAATTTCAACGAGTCCAAAGATACCCAAATAACACTTGAAATTTACCTTACTTTTTTCAGGAAGAGCTTATCCGATATCTGCTACAACAAATGTCTAAAGGAAGAATCCAAAATTAATTTTCCAAAAATAATTCTTATCGAAGTATGTACATATATACCACTGTTAGAACGGTTTAAAACGTCGAATTTCACATGTGCCGATCTTAATGAAAATGAGCGAGGACAATAGTTTTTTCTCATTAGCATTAGATTGGGCACATGTGAAATTCCACGTTTAAAACGAAACTTACTTCCTGAACAAAACATGTTTACATTGATGAGGCTACATCACGTAATGTTTTGCTGGTTCGATATTGAATAACTGACCATACTGTAGATGGAAGCGACAGAAACAAAGTCAAAAAGGGTTTTTGAGTAAGGAAATTTAAGGAAATGTAAACGTATCGCATTCGCTTAAAGTTTACAAATATCAGTTTCACCTTACTCAAGTCAAACGGAGGTAGAATATTCCAACCAGCCTCTAGCCTCATACGGCGGATGCAATTTTTTCCTGAAACCTCGTAGAATTGGGATTCCTGTGACTCTGTTGATCATCCGGAAATACATGCATGCCATAATTATGGTTTCCTTCTCTCGTTACATCGTCTTTACAAGGTTGCTGTTCGACTCCTATAGGCTTTTTCCGCAAATAATACAAAAACAATGCAGCCAACACCACCGAAATGACGAAAAGGACAACGCCGACAACTATGAATGCAAGCGTCCGCCGTGGAACTTTGAATTAAAAACAAATGTTAAAAAAAAAATTAGGGCATAAACTTACGCCACTACAACATCGATTTAATCCTAGATGGCAACAAAATGCTTGTTACTTTAAGATATAATATAACTAGTTTGGAGAGTTTTCGTTTTATCTGATATTCAACACGGAAAGACCGGAAAGGAGAATTTCAGGATTGATGACTGGATTTGCGTCACTACATCAAAATCAGAAGTAAACAAAAGCCAATCACAACTTGATAACTCAAAATTTATCGCCCAAGAGTCGTGGTACCTGTAACCTCACAGTTCTCTCATCCAGATCAGACCATTTTAGCTCATGTTTCGTTTTTTACTGCAATGTTTGTGCATTTAGTTCTCTTCTTCCTTTGCTTTTAATCATTGCAGCAAGGCACTTTTAAGTCTCTCCACTAAGTAATTCAACGTGAGAACGCCTTCGGCACTGGCTTCTAACAAAGCTCCTAACTTCTAACAAAGCTCCTAACCAACTTTTTCTAACTTATCTAAAGTAACATGTGAATCATTGGTTTACTAACGATCCAAATTGCTACATGTACAACAAGAAACGCAAGTGGAGAAAATGATCTTCGCAGGTGCAGTGCAATCAGATTTAAGCAAATGCAGAAAACATTTCACGAACTGACGGGATTCAAACCTGTGCCTCGCAGATACTAGCTGGGGCAATGAACAGATTACCATACCTGGCTGGGGCGGTGGTTTCCTTGGTTTTTGTAGTTTTGTTGGTTTTAGTGGCTTTGTTGGTTTTTGTGGTTTTGTTGGTTTTTGTGGTTTTGTTGGTTTTTGTGGTTTTGTTGGTGTTTGTGGTTTTGTTGGTGTTTGTGGTTTTGTTGGTGTTTGTGGTTTTGTTGGTGTTTGTGGTTTTGTTGGTGTTTGTGGTTTTATTGGTGTTTGTGGTTTTGTTGGTTTTTGTGGTTTTATTGGCGCTGGTTGCGTTCGATTTGGCTTGCGAGAAGGTTCGGTTGGTTCAATGATATTGAAGTCTGACGTCGGTGTGGTGTGGTTCCTTAGAATGTTGTCGTCTTCTCGTAAAGGCTTAAGTGGGTCTGAGGAAGTCCCGTAGAGTATCAAAGACCAGTCGTAAAGCGTACCTATACAGCAGCAGAAAAAAGCCCAAAAGAAAATTATGAGAATGTCACAAAAAGAAACAACAATAGTTTGATTTGCTAGATCAATGAAAACTAAGTGGTACATCTTCTCCTGGCACATGACTGTACAGACCTTTATGAGCCTTTCCTTTGTCAAGATGTTACATCCCACATCCCAAATCGGACCACAGCGTGAGACAAACGATTACATTTCTCTTTAAAGTGCTATTTACTACGATGAATAACCACAGTCTATTTTACGATATAATGCCACATCTAGTTGATGATATTCTAATTTATAATATCTACTGATATCATAACCTGTCTGCTCAATCAGTATCGTATTACACATGCCTGTAGGAAATGGGGGGAAGGGGTGGATGCCCGCGAGGCATCAAATGACACAGTACATATTATAAACTACTTTAAAAACGTTTGGAAAGGGTTCATGCGACTTGGGAGGAACAGAAACAAAACCAACAACAACAATAATAACTAATAACTTCGGGACCAAAATCAATATTAACCTGAACTGGGAATTTTGGGGTCAAAGTCATCAACTTTTAGCTCCCATCTCCCTCTGGGATTCTCTCTCCAGTGAAACAGAGTTGCCATAATCCAGTCTGTTAAGTTTCTGTATCCTGTATAGTTGTCCATTCTTCGTTTTCGAGTTAGCGGAGATGCAGTGCCGCTTGGTGCTTTCAACTCAAGGGCCAAGTCACCACGGCGAGAAAAGTCAAGATTTATTTTGATCTGCACGTGCTCCAGGAATTTGATCGTGCAATTTTTCACTTCTATAAAAACTGCGCCCGGGATTTGTCTGCAAATGAAAATATTAAACAGGTTAGGTTTGTCGCTGCTGTATTTACCCTCACTAGAAAGGCTGCTATATTGGCGAGAAGGTTCATCGTAAGTTTTAAAGAATACGTTACAGAATTCTTGGGGAAGATATTTACGTCATTCTTAATTGCCTCCCAGCATTGTAAGGGAAAACGTCTTTAATACATTGAAAAAATACAATGATGGGATTAATATAGAATAGTTTTGGGATGCTTAAAGGGCGAAAGTGACCTGAATAGTATTTTAACTCATGAGATCAGCTGTAATATCTGCTTGTTGAAATAAAAGCATTAAACTTTCACAGAATAACTTGGTACACCAACATGGCAAAGGTTTGTTTCTGTAACCGTTCGAAGCAAGTAGAGTCATCCCATTTCGCGACAGTGTCAAAATTAAAGTTCTTTGTCCGTTCGAAGGATACGTGTGATCTATCGAGTCCAAAAAATTCAAAAGGAAACTAATATTATAGCTTACTTATTCTTGTCGCTGCCTTCAATTTCACATTTCAGCTGTTCAGGCACTCTTGTCCATTTCTTTGCTAGGCTCACCATCTTACCAGCGTCCATGAGTCCAAAGCCATAAAACTTGCTGACATACAGACCTGCTTTGTTCCGCTGCCAATATCCTCGTTTAAGGGTCACCCCCCCTGGCGCTGGCCTTGCACTGTGGGCTACAATGTGTTGCACGTCGCGCCAAGTTAGTTGGGGACTAAGAGAAAATAGACCGAGCGATGAGGGAAATCTCAAAACATAACCAGAAAATCTAACAATAACGGTATAATTTGAAGATTAAAAAAGTCCAGATATTTATAGTCTCTTGGATTATTTTCGTTCACAAGGAACATGACGGTCAAAAAAGGCAAAGTAAAAGACACAGGCACACAAACAAATAAGGGTGATTTCAAGCATCATTAACGAGACTCGCACACAGATCCATCCCTACCCTCTATGTTGTTTTTTTGTCGTTGTTTCTTTTGAAAGGTTTATCCATGTGGCTTAGAGCATCTGATTCGAAATCTGAACGTCCCAAGTTCAAATCCTGTCCTCAGCCACTCAATTAGATTTCAGTGATTCTCTTTTGCGCTCTATTCAACCGCAGCAGGTTGGCTGGGCGTTAAATTGCCAGAAATTGTCTGTTCTGGGCCATTTAAACTTAATCAATATTATAAGGAAAATAACAGAAACTCGTCAATTCTTATGGACAACCCTCTAACTTGGCGGCTACAGAAGCTCAAATAGACATTCCCTAAGAGTGACCAGCATCTAATTTCTCCTTACAATATCACCCCTGAATCACAAAATAGGGTCACGAGAAGAATGTAAATGATCACCAATTTAAGAAGCTCTCTATTGTTAAACAAATCCTGTTTCTCAGCGCCTTAGGAAATGTCTACGGACAGTATGGAGAATATGTCTGCTAGAGTTGGGGCGTAAAGGGTGAACTCCACCACGAAATTGCAATGCTAAGGCAAGTGCAGGGACTGTACATGTTCCTTCTGACATAAAAAATTATAATTAAGTTGTGTCTCTCTTTGTGGCTCACTTCCCCCTCTATTCGTGAAGTTAAACAGGATGACGTTATAGTCTTACTTTGCCTGCAGGGTCAGTGCAATCAGCCCGGACGCCATGGCAGTAGCCGCTGACGTGGCTGCGAAATCATCGACACAGCCCTCCTTGTTATCCACTGTTATCTAGTACATGATACACAAAACAGATTCAAACAAACTAACCAAAACAACCACACAACTGAAAGGAAATTAAAACAAGGTTTTAAAAATTTGTAGCGATCAGTTTTTATGATTGCACTTGCTTTTCAGGAACGCTTCCCTTTCCCTAAAACTTCAAACAAAACGTCCAAAGATATCAAACACACCCTGAACAAAACAAGCGAAAGTGTCAAAGGGAAGGAAGAAAAGTTACTTGAGGTAACTTCTGGATGTCTTTTTTTCTTTGCTTGTTTGCTTGCTTGTTTAATTTTGTGCACTGGTCGACTAAAGAGCGTACAAGGGTCACTTTCAAACTTTTGTTTTGCATTGTCCTCCTTTCATTTGATGTTATGTTTTACTTCCCAGTATCCATTTTCGTTTCTAAAACGTCTTGTTTCACTTCACTTACAACTTTTCCAAGTCCCTTAAATGAATCCCTGCTGTACGTGGTGGCCATGACTCCGGGACATTCCTCTGCGTAGGTGGGATTAGTTCCATCTTTGTTTACACCATTGATAGCGATGGTGTAAATACTATTCACATAACCATTGTATGCACAGCTGTCTCCCGTAATGCCTCCATTTCCTGCTGCAAATGTGTAAATGGCGCCCAGGCCGCCACGACCCTAGATTTGAATTAAAAGTACGTAGCTTCGTCACACTTTCACACTACTGGTTATCACGGATCGTCACGGTTGTCGTATTTTCCTCCAACAGTGCGCGCATGACATCAAACAATGAAACTATTTCCCATCAAAAGTCTCTGAGCGGCACAACTGAAAAATCTATGAATTCAGAGGGTAAATGTGAGATACTACTCGCGAATGTTGACTGAGAATCACCGTCGCGGGTGAACAGAGCGTGGCTACCGGTCGGGTGACATTTCTAGCATTGTGGCATTTTGCAGTTAGTCGTTAAGTGATTATTTTCGTCTTCAAATACCTGCTTTACAAGTGAACAATGAGCAACAACCCAAGTTGACTAAAGAAAATGTGCGCTGAAATACATTAACATTTAAAAATAACACTGGTTATTCTTATGTTGATTCTTGTTTGGATGCAAGTAGTTATAATGAAAACTGACTGCTGAGAATTTCAACGTTGACAATGTTGACAAAGACACTAAAGGCGTTGATGGTTTAAGAAGATACAGAGATAACATTAGATAACTGATGACAGAACACCTTAGGGGATGAAAAGAATGAGATCATTATATGATAGAGTTCTGACTAATAATTTTATACAATACCTTTTTAATGCCGAGTTCAAAGGCTTTCCTAGTCAACGGGCCTGGCCCCTCTACTCGCCAGCCCATGTCCCCAGGCCCCCAGCTGTTTGAGTATATGTCAATACTTTCCAGTTTGTGCACCAAGGCCACAGATTCTGTTGCATCGGTAGACTTAATACCTTCGTCAAAGAGGCGAATGCCTAACACAAGACAATGCAATGATAAAAGGTCAGTGTGTCTGTAACAATAAAGATACCCTCATGGGGACTCAGAATTTTTTGCTTAATGCTCCTGACAAGATAAAGAAACATTTTTCTCACCATGTATATCAACTTGCTGAGCCCAAACTTTACATTTATCTCTTGCTTCTTCTATTTCAGGGGCACGTTTCCCATGATTAAAATTTGTGACAGCTTGTTAAGTTCTTTACTCTCTGCAGTTAACCCAGAATATTGTTGAAAGACAAGTTGATGAAAATGCTCCACTTCAAAGAACAATTACCATGAACACTGAGCAGAATGGACAAAACTCAGGGGTTTCCCTACACCGTTAGATAAAGACATTCTGGTAACAAGTGCTATGCTTAGAACTCAATTCTTGAGAAAAACACGCAGTTATAGGTTTCTAAAGGATGTAGTTTAACTAGCGTCAACAAGAGTACTGTTCATGCTCTTCCTTTGTAGTCAAAATTGTCATCAAGGCAATGCTTAATCAAAGAGGAACATGTTAACATACCAAACAAGCCATTACCTGCAATGTTTGCTTCATATGCCAAACCCCGCCCACAAAAACCATTATTGGCTACTCCTGCAATGATACCTGCACACTTGTTGCCATGGCTACAAATTAACCAGATTACAACGATACCATAAGATTGGATTGTTGAAACTATTTTATGGAGATTTATGCACAAATGGATGAAAAATTTGCTCTTTACTAAAAAACATCATCAAACTATGCTGAAAGGAATAGCAACAATGAACATGAAGCATACATGTTTACAAATAAACCACAGAAAAAAATAGGAATCACAACACAAAGTTAACAAAAATTTCCACACATTTTGGAACAAACATGTAATGTGTGAATTAACTAATAGACAATTAACGTATAACTTAATAGTATAAATATTTTCACTGATATGTAATAATTAGAATGAGGGATGATTCAATTCCCCAGCTTATTTATCAGAGCTCCAGTTAAGTTTTCATGTTTAGGCATTACATGAAGGCACACCTGTTGGTTTTTAAACCTTGATAACCAAAATCATTAGAAATTCTCTAACATTTGTGGGGTTTGACAGGTTCTTTGCCTGGGACCTCTTTCTTCCACAAGGCATCATGTTAAAAACAGGTTTCTATGACCACTAAGTGTTTAAATTAAAAGTGGGTACATTGCATAATAGGGGGTAATGATCAGAAAATTTATAGCTAATAATGTGGACAAACAAACAAAGTAATTGTAACTTACCCTGATACTGGTGTTCCATATTGCATGTGTTCGTTAGCCACATAATCATAACTTAAAGTCCAGTTCTGATGAAACAGATTAAAGGAAATAAATGACACATAAACATGCAAATAGAAACACACAAATAAATATATAAAGAGAAATGGAGGAAAAGGTCATTTCTTCATGTATGTAGAGTTATGCACACATTGACCTAATTTCATGTAACCTTTACTTTATATCAAAAATGAAGAATTGAATAAAGAGAAAAAACAAAGCTGGACATTATGTTCCAGTGTTTACAAGTCAATTGAACTGGTTAGTTGTACGATATATGTGCACTTCATGTAAGTTTATTTCGATCATGCATTGTTTGTCTCTCAATTAAGAAATAGCCATGGTTATGAATGTTTCAAAACAAATTGGAGAAGATAGAGAGAAAAATAAGATGTTACAACAACAATTACATAGTTTTTACGCAGTTCAGGATGCGATCCATCTACTCCATCATCAACCACAGCCACCATAATTCCTTTTCCTGTATAGCCTTTGTCCCAAGTGGAAGTGATGTTGTATGTTGGCTCATTGGATCCTGCTGGTCTTCTCTAGAAAAGAAATGGCACAAGTGTGTAACCCCTAAAAGTGACCAGCTTCTGATTTCTCCTTACAATATCACCCCTGAGACACACATTAAGGTCATGAGAATAAAGAACATGATCCCTCACTAAAGAAGCTCTTGATTGAAAAACAAATTTTCCTTGTCAGCATCTTAGGAAATGTCTAGAGAACAGTATGGAGATATGCATAATGTTAGGGTGTAGAAGGTTACACTTTTTGGGTGGGGCATGTGATCCCCTATGCAATCTCAAAGGAACAATTTCTCATTTAAATTTGTGATCTTGAAAAACTTCACTTAAAATGTTCTTTATTGTTCTTCACCATCTTTAGAGATCCTTAGCAATCTTTGTATTCTTCTTGCTTTGTTACTGCACCTTCTGTGTTTTTCTGTTCTTACTAAGCTGACTTAAACAGTACTATTTTGTTTCCTTCATTTTGTTATTAGTTATCACATTGCAAAAATTGAATAAAAATACATTATTGCTCCCTTAAAATGACCAAAATATTCAACTCAGCAAAATCTTCCCAAGGGACAGTAAACAATTCAAGCTTCTCCAAGCTTTTTGTTGCAAATTAATCTCAAAAGCCACACATCAAATTATGATACATAGCTAGTTGGCAAAATGATGGATTAGCAATGTAAATCAAGTTATTAAACCAGTGTAAGGTCAAGTTGGCTGGATATTGGCCGAGTTCACCTTGACTGAACAAGCTTGGTAAATAAAGGATTTATTATATAATTTACAAATTAAAATATTTTGCTTAATTAGGAAGCCCCAAAAGAAAGCCAAAGCAACTGTGTTTGTGGCAAAATAAATCCACAAGGGTCATGAATGTTTTCTTTGATTGACTGTCTTTTGCCATTTTTTGCTGCTCCATTGTTGACATTGTCCAAAAATTACAAACTTTGTACTGACACTCAGGTATAGCCAATCAGAACAAAGGATTTGCTTCAATACTGCCCAAGGGCACTAACAGCAATACAATGAATGAAATAAAATGCATGATTATCAATGTCACTGCCATCACATGTATCATTTACATCAATATAGTCATTATCATCATTATTACAACAACACTATCAAATAAATTTTGATCTATAGCACATCCCTTGGTACCAGTACTTTAAATTTGAAATGTGAAGATTATAAGACTAATTGGAGCTTTTTCACCTGGGATTTTAAGGATTTTAGATAACAAAATTTAAGCTTTGTATTTATTGGACATGACTCCTCAAGCAATCATTGCTGGCTTGTACAAAAAAAGTTTATTTTTATAAATTGGCTTACTTAAAAGTTGAATGGTCAGTAACAATTACTTACAATGTACCACTGCTCCTGAAATCTTGGGTCTGTTCTAGAGAATAACTGGTATTTTTTCAGCTTCTGATGCATGAACCATTCAACCTAAATATCAAAAAGGCAGTAAATGTGGTGAATTAGTGGCTGATGATTTCCACAATTAATGTGGAATTGTTAATATAAGTTAGAAGTTCCATTTTTCCTGAGAGAGGTAATGGCTACCTTATTGCAAGAAAAAATAATAAGTGCAGAGAAACCCTCCTTCCAGCTAAACTGTCTGCTTCATGCAGGTTTTAGCAAATTGTGCATTGTTCAAAAATCATCAAATGAAGTTACATGGATGTTCTTGACTAACAATGATATTTAGGTATTACCTCTCCTCTAATCAAGATTCAAAACAACCAAAGATCTTGTACCATGTGTTAGAAGTAAAGCAATAACATTTCTCTTTTATTAAACAGAAAAAGTGAAGCATCACATCACTTCAACTTAGTCTAGTTAGCCACTGTAGCAAGCACATAGTCTTCAAGGAATTGTCTTATCCACCTAGTATTCCATTCCTATATCACATTCTAAAAACAGTAAAACTGTAGCAAGCACATAGTCTTCAAGGAATTGTCCTATCCACCTAGTATTCCATTCCTATATATCACATTCTAAGAACAGTAAAACTAACTCTTTTCTGGAGTTAAATTCACCCACCTCTGTTCACTGGAAAACAAAGTTGTTATATATATAAATATATGTAAATAACTAATTAAAGTACCTCACCTTTGGCTCAAACTGTAAGTTTCTGTCAACCTCTAAATATGATTTGATCTTTTCAGACTGCTCCTTCAATTCAGGTTTCTTTAAAGTATGATATTCCTGGAAGAGCTGAGAATTGTTACACGTATGTTAGGGTTTTCAAATCTACTGTGAAAGCATACTACCAACCATTATTTTAAGAATTCAAGAGTGACCAGGTGACTCTTTTGGCATTGTTCAAAATGTCTTTTGTTAAAAGTTTGAATATTGCACACATTTGTAAATGTGAAATTGACCAGACATATCTGGTCCGACAATGTTCACTGACCAACAGTCATTGCAGCCCTGTATACAGTAATCTCAGAATAATAATAATAATAATAATAATAATAATAATAATAATAATAATAAGCTTTTTAGGATTAGTTAATGTACATATATTTTTTTACTCCATGGCTCACAGGTTACGGTTTTCGCCCTGTGCTGCCTGATTAGAATGTAGCATTCAGTTGATTTCTCTGCGACATAATAATAACCATTCAAGAGTTCAAATTTTCCACTAAGTTTTCCAATTTGTGGCTCTCTAAGTAGCCTTAAGGCTGCTGTGAAATACAACCTTTCTAAGACAAATCTTTAAACCAGGTTAAAATGTTCAATGCTTTTGAGATGCTTCCCAACATTCAACCACACTTTTGTCTTAAAAAGCAAAAAATGCTTACATTAACATTTAGACAAATGTGGGCATTTAGCTCTTCCAGACAAATTTCTTTGATTAGTTCTGAAAACCTCAGAGTTAACTACAATAACAGTAATTTTGTAAATTTTTAGCTTATTTTGGTTAACTTTTTAAATGAGATAATTCATTATGTTCCACTCAACCCTAACCTCTCTTGTCAAAAGTTTTCAACACAATATAGAGAAATATTCCTATGAACAATCACCATCGAAATAGAGGTGTTGCACAAGTATTTGATCAAAATGAATTCCCTCACATGACCTAATGAAAACAAGAGAAGTAAAACAAGCCACATTTTCCTTAAGTCCAGTCATGAAGCTTCAAAATGATACGTTACTTGTAGAGATTGGTATATAAACTCAGAGGGAAAAGTCAGTGATCACCATTGGAATCAAAACACGTAAAGAAGCAATTTTGGGTGCCTGAGTCACCCAATATGAGGAAAACACTATAGAGTCTTGCTCTTCTAAAGCGAGCTTCTAACATTTTCTGAAGATACTCGAGTACAGAGTGAGATGGCAAAACAAACTCGTCTGTAGTGTAGATCGGGATTTCAGGAAACGCCAAGTCAAGCTTGAAATTGGGCCGGGTCTCAGTTGGGACTATCTACAGAAAATCTCTTGTCCGACCATCTTTGCGATATCACTTTCACGAGAAATAGGAGACAGACAGATAAGACTTAAGCTTTCTTTCATTGCCTTTGGCCTGAGTCGGGCAGTACTTACATGTTTGTCATAAGAAAAACCATATTTCTGCGCTACTTTTTCGACCTCTCGCTGACCTCCTTGGATTTTCACGGCCCAGACATTGGTGTAAATCTCACTAGCAAAAGTACTGCTTACAAAAAAGAATATGGGAAACAGTAAAGAACTCGAGAATCTAGCCATTGCAATGCTAATTTGGTCGCCAAATTCTTGTAAACATCTGTAAAGGTGGTCACTTTTAAACTTCCCCTGGACAAGTTCGTGATTCCACGTGATGCACGGTGGGATGGTAACAAGGAAAAAGCTATGCATATTTACTCAACGCATCACGTACTTGCTTCATCGTAAGGGATATTAAGTTAATAAACATTGTAGCTCTTCCGGGAAAACTAGTCTTTTGTTTTTGACAGAGTCCACTGGTTACAGTGGGATCATTCTCGTCTATATACGGATCTCGAGATCGGAAGAATGATTCAAATTATTCGAGGGGGGAAACTGGAAACTTAGATGTTGTGTTCGCCTGTTCGTAGAAATCGCGATCACAACCTCACATCTACAGACAACAAACAAAGATGCGAAAGCACGTCAGTTAGACTGCGAAGCTAAAAGCAGAAATTGAGAAATGAACGGAACAGTTTCCCTAATGGTTAGCGCTGTGAGTTTCTCAATGAGATAGTTTTACCGAAAACCTCGTTGAATCGGGCTAACTGCAAAATATACGATCCTTGGACGACAGAATATAATATGTCCACGGTGCCGGCCCTTGTTATGCAGTGCATTGTATGAAGGTTTTGTTATCGTGGCTGGGTCCGTGGAATAAGATGGCATATTTTTTTAAAAATAATTTTGTTTTTCACGATCGATTAATACATTTCCCGCGTGATAAGTATAACTAATTTGCACTTCTCACTAGTTCATCCTCTTGTGCTGAAACGGAACTACTGAGCATGTGACAGTTGCTCAATTTTTACAAATCCGATTGTTTTCTTTCCTTCATCAATCACTTCTAAACACGAGCACAGTATGCCTGGCTTCAGTTAGTTCTTAAATATTCCAGTTAAAATAGAACAAAAAGGTAAAAAGAATGATTTGAAAATGACTCTTGAGACTGGTGGAAGAATTTGGTTATAAAAACCCAACAACGACTCTACAACAAAAACAATAGTTTAAGAGTCACAAAGAAGCGTGACCGAATGACGTGACAAGCGCCCAACAATTCAAAAGCACTGAAGTTGTTTGAGCTTGAGCTAAAGGAAAAAAAAAGCAAAGGATCCCTCGACAATTCAACCCCTGTTTCTTAGAAGTACCTCAACATTTTGCCGAAGGAGATTGTATGGCATCAATTTCCACGTAAGATTTTGTGCACAAGAACTTACATCTTACAAAAATGAGTGCCATGACAAGTTGATGCTGAATTACAGAGTTCAGTTGATTTGACTTTTAAAATTATTATGGTCAGATTGTTCAACAGACCTTATCCTCATGCTACAATAGTCTTTTTAAAAACTTCGTGCTATCGTGTGACAATAATAAGGCTTGTTTGTTTCTTCTTTCTCCCCACGTAGTAAGCAGTAAAACATCACGCCACTTAGAGTAAAGTGTTGTTTTATTGTCTTGATGGAAACTTACCGCAATGCTATACGCGCAAGATACTCAGCTAATAAGATTTACGGCTTTAGATTGTAAGAGCTACGAATAATACACCCCACAGCCCAGACAATACATTAACAGTCGTTGTTGAAAGTGCGCCTATTTGTATCTGAGTTACATCTTATTGTGCATAAAGGGGATGTCCAAGGCATTACTTGTAGCTTTAGTTCTGGGTTCCATAGTATAATATGAGACCTTTGAAAAGTTATTGCTGTTATAAGTACTGAGTTACATCAATTAGCAAGTCTCTCCGTTAACTCCTGTTGCGCTGAAACGGAACCAGACACTACACTGCTACAAATGTTGACCTATTAAATGGCCCCTGTTCTTCATCGATCATTGTTAAACCCGTGCTCAGCTTGCTGGCCTCAATCATTTTAGGGTAAGCAATAGAAATGAGAAACTGTACAGACGCTATCATTCGTTTTTAGAGTCTAGTCCCCCTTCATTTCAAGTTTGCAATACTTTTTATGGTCAAAATTGAGCATGAAGGACAGAAACGAGACCTCCTTAAGAAGGTTTAAAGCAAATATAAAGAAAAAAGATCTGAGCGAATTGGTTAGTGAAAACGCGTGCAAAAGGTGCCACCTGTGTAACTCATATTTCATACACAGAAAATATTATAACCAGTAGAGTTGATATAATATAAAATTGGATACTTAGTTTTTATTGCATATGTGTATTTTTAAGACTATTGCATATATTTGAAGAAGTTTTGAATTGTTAAATCTTATTATCTTATAGTATCATTTAACAATTATTCCACGAGCACGCGTTGGATAAGAGATGATAGATAGCCAATTCGGCGCTACGCGCCTCGTTGGCTATAATCATCTCATATCCAACAAGCGCGAGTGGAATAATTGTTTTATTTAAAACGCAATTTTTTAGCTCCCTTTTAATTTTAACCCGACGCGCACGCTTACCATATTTGTAGATTATGGTATATTGTCTCATCTACTATAATGGCTAAGCCGATAAAAAGTCTTGAATTACATTATCCAATGATCCAGTTTTAAATAATAATATATATTTATCAGTAATAAGTAATTGAAGTAGTGTCCCCGATTAGTATGCCTGAGGGCAAGCTAGAAGATTAGACACTTAAATAAAGTTGTTGATTGATTGATCAATCTCGATGGTTCGAAGTGAATGTATCATTGTTTCATACTTGTCTCAGGACCTTAAAGTGTCACTAAAATCAAATATTCGGAGTCTAATAAAATTGCATTTTTTGAAACCTCGTGATGGACTCACTCACCGGTCGAAATCGTTTTTGAGTTAGAGCACGGAAAGTCTGACTTTTCAGAGCTTATTTTTCCATCTTTTGCTGTCCGCCATTAATGAAGCGTGTTCCAACCGAGTGAGCGGAAATGACGTCAGAATCGAAAAACACACACGGCTAATTTCAATAGAGCCGCTTGCAAGTTAAACACTCTGATTCATCTCCTGATGAAACTTGCGAATACTCCTCTTCTGAGTTCGACATATTTCCCGATAATTTCCCTTGCCAATAAGTCTTAAAAGATAGTGGTGTTGAGAAACTGACGTCACGATGGGTGTCAGCCTCTGAAAATTGACGGCTCAACTGGAACCGAATTTCAATAATGGCGGACGGAAATACAATGANGTCACCCTTTTGCTTTATCAGTGCATGGCTTTAATAAAATAGAATGGAATTATATCTAGCGACACTAGATTTAACGCTTGGTCAGTCCTCAGAAGAAGATTTTCTGTGAATGTAAATGCAATTCTGCAAGGTTTTTTGTTGTCTCTTATTTTTTTGTTAATTTTCCAATTTACTGAGCCAGTCATACAAGTTCTACCTTTCCTCTCTCAGCTTCCACTAAACGAAGTACATGTTCGTCGAGAGACACAAAAGTTTAAGCTCGCCATTACAGAGAAGGGAACAAGATTTGATGAGAAAGTCGAGATCAACGAAGACGATGAGATTGCTTATTTCAATGTTCCTCCTCATAATGGTTTGCCAGAGAATGGAGAAATTTTCGTCTACTGAATGGTAAGATAAACTATCTAATCTATCGAGGACACTCTGCAACTTTCACAAAATCTTAGAACTTAATTAACCTTGTAGAATGGACACATTTAAAAGTCATTATTGCATATCGCGGAACGTAAGCGTTCGTCGTTCCAAAAGTGTTAGGGCTTGCTACCTAAAACCTTTAGACAAGAAGACTTGCCAAGACCAAAAGATCTGTATACTGGTCTCACACAGGTTTTACTAAAGTTAAGTTGCAAAAGTTTTTCTACGAGCTTCTAATTAGTGCGATTAAAACATCATAGGAGAGGCGTTGATGGAGAATATGAACTTAATAACAAACACGTGACCGTTTAAGTCCGATCAGGCCGGCTAACTTAATACGGACAGTTTTGATCCTTCAATTTCCAAGATTCAGCAAAATGCATCTATTGCTTTATTATCATTTGGCTAAGAAGTGGCTTTAATTAATCTTAACAGATTTTCAATCATTCTCCACAAGACTTCAAATCGTCCGGCACCAATTACAAGATCTCGACAGTTTCCAAAAAGTGGATCATTGCTGGAGAAGTGGAGAAGGTCTCCCTCAGAAAGGAGGCGCAGAATTCTGTGACCAGTACCCAGTCTACCGTCTGAAGGAATATTTACCAGACTCTTTTTCTGTGGTGAGAGGTAAGAGATTGCAAAAATCGATATGAGTTCTTTGAATCAGCAAGTTTAAACCTGTTTCACACAAATTCTTGTTTATCAAATATCAATAAAAGACGTTTTAACCCATAGTGACATATGTACAAAGCTGAAATAAACTCCACTTATAATAATAATAATAATAATAATAATAATAAAATCTAACGAGGGAGCCCAGCTCTCGTCCTATTAGTATTTTGCCTATTCTTTCTAAAGTCTTTGAAAGACACATCTTAATTGCTGTAAACACCTACTTAACAGAAAATTCACTTTTATATCGCTTCCAATCAGGGTTCCGTAAAAACCACTCCACGGATACTGCTTTGTTGTCTCTTCTGGACCAAGTCCTTCTTGACCTTGATAAGAACAACGTCAGCGGCTAAGTTTTTGTGGACTATACCAAGGCATTCGACCTGATCAATCATGACATTCTCCTGGTAAAGTTAAGATCATATGGATTTCCAGATAATGTTGTAAAGCTATTGCAGAGCTATCTACTCAATCGCAAACAGTGTGTTACTGTAAATAACTCGACTTCGTCACAACTTATGCTAACCAATGGAGTTCCTCAAGGTAACATATTGTGACCTCTACTGTTTTTAATTTTCGTCAACGATCTTCCCGAAGCTGTTGGATCGGACTCAACTATTCATGCTTACGCGGATGACACCACATTTAAAGCCAGCGCTAATATCGATAATGCACCTTTGGAATTGGAACGACGTCTTCAAGAATACATGGATAAATTAAGTAAATGGTCTAGCGAAAATGGGATGGTCCTAAACGCCGTTAAAACCAAAGCATTACTTATCACCGGAAAGAGGCTACATTCATCATTAGCTGATGGCAATCACCTGTCAGTGACCCTTGATGGGGCCGAAATAGAACAAGTAAC